GTAAGAAGCCAGTCTGGACCCGCTTATTACTGCATTCATAGTACTAAATTTGGAGGAAGACCCAATCAGAGCACCCTCACAAATAGATTGCTGCTGGTGCTGTTTTCCTTTCAAATGCTAATTAGTAGACAATGCCACTGAATAGGAAAGAAGCACATGTTGATCCAGCACAGATCTCAACAAGATTTTTTATTTCATGTTTTGATGGAAATAGGCTTGGCATAAGAAAGATATTGATTTCACACCCCAAGACAGACACATCTAAATCAAAGATGTTTTTGTAAGCTAATTAGAAGAAGAGAACTTTGAAGTACCTCTAGTTGAGAATTAACTGAAATGTGGCTCAGTTGTCTGAAAGACACCCACTGGGCAGCCTGGGTCCTCATGGTCTTCAAGCATCCACAGGCCTACCCACACCACGAGGTAGCTGGGTGTCATTGTGATGAGCAAGTATATGGTAGACAACTGGGAGAGAAAGACTTGGAATTGTTCATGTGCTGTAGTAAGAGGCAATTCTTAAGAAGACAGGACAGTGAGGTATCGACCAAAGATGGCAGCCTGATGGCCCCATGAGACCAGGATGGTGCCTGGGCCTGGACTGACCCCTCAGGTCAACTATCCTACAACAGCTGGGGTCCATGATACATGTTGCTGATAAGGCCACAGGAATACCCAGAGTCTGAGCTGCCACTGAGGCTAGCTTGCTTTTAGAGGCCCATACTGCCTTTGAGGCCATGTTGATCTAAGTGGCCTGTGTTGCCACAGGGAACATAATGATATCCAGGTCCCAGTTGCTGCTCAGGGTCAAGGACCTGAAGCAGTCAAAGTTGGTGTTGATATCTGCTGCTTCAGTAGCCAATGAAGGCCATGTAGATGACCAGTGTCTCAGCCACCGCCTGTGGGCATGTTATGTCCTAGAGTCATGCAGCCATGGGGAACCATAAAAATCTAAGTGGCCTAAACTCCCACCTGGTGTCATGGTGACATCTGAACCTAAGCTTCTACTGAAGACCATGCTGGAGTCCATGGTCCTACCACAGTCAGGTTCTGTGTTCAAGCCCATGACCCATGGTACCACTAAAGGTCGTATGGAATCCCTGGGTATGCACTGCAACCTGTGGTCATGTTGGTGTTATTCCAGTCTAGGTGGTCTGCACTACCACAAGGTCATCCTTCATATGGGCCTGGGTTGCTGCTGTGGACCATATCTGGATCGGTGGCCAAGCAGCAGTCAGGATCAGAGTTGATGTCCATGGCTTCTGTTGCCACCAGCGTCGAGTGGATCCTCAGAGTCTTGATAGCTACCTGAGACCGTGTTGGTGTCTGAATGTTGTACTGTCTGCATCCATGTTTCTTTTGCAGCTAGGGGTTTGTGATGATGTCTATGGCCCTTGTTACCAGAAGTTAGTAAGAACCATGTGTTTTGAAATCCAAAGGACATTCTGAGCAAGGCCTGTCTCTCACTGGAAACTTCAGCAGGCAAGATTACCCCGCCCCTCCGCCACCCAACATGGAAGACATAGCCCCTGCACTAGGGAGAAATAACCACAGTGGCCCAGACCAACCAGCTCAGCTACTACCCAGATTCACATCCTGGGCCTTGGGTTGATTCACCCTAATGTCTATTCTGTCTATAACCTACTGAAGGCTGTGAAGGTACTGGTTCTGGAGAATGGTAGCCACAGGGTCTCCATAACTCATAGCAACAACAGGTTATATAAGAGGAGTTTCAGTGAGGGTTCAGTGATGATGGTGTACCAGAGACCTTGTACTAGACAAATAAATCATCACAATGAATATTTGGCAGGTGGAGCTAATTGGACAACAGGGTATACTGCATGACACCACGCAGCCACTGTTGCCACCAGGATAAATGAAGAGGTGTTGGAAAGATGGAGGACCTAAGTGAGTTTTTTGCTTGTTTACTTATTTTGCTTTTCATTAATTTTGGGAAGAGAATGCTCCAAGGGTGAGGGATGGATATGGAGGGACTGGGGATCAAGGTGCATGATATGAAATTCCAAGGAATCAATAAAGTGCTGTAGAAATTCCTACTGCCAATAGCCTTTAAGTTACCTACCCACTTTGGCGTGACCTCTTACACTATATATACCAAAGAAAAGCGTGTTTCCAAACTCTTTCATGGTTGTTGGATTCGGTTGCTGTTCCCCTATTCAAGCAGAGGATTGTGATCTGTGAGTCTACCCCTAAATAAATAACCCTCTATTATACTCAATTCTGAACTAGTGTGGAATTTCTTTAAATCATCCTTCCTCAATAAAGAACTATGTCTAAGAAGAAAAAGAATAAACTGAAACCTGCACTTCATATGCATTCTCTGCATTATATAATCCATTTCCAATAATGTTATTAAAATTAATTTGGATATTAAAATCAGAACCTAGACAAGAATGAGGACCCTATGAGAGACAACATGATCTAATCTACATGGAAAGGAAAAAAAATACAAGATCTCCTTAGTAAATTGCAAGCATGGCAGTCATGGGAGAGGGTTGACAGGGAGGGGAATAGAGAAAAATGTATAGCTCAATAAAATCAATTAAAAAAAGAAAAAGAAAAATTACTTTCTTTGTATTACTACTGGAATTACATTCAGAATCTTCCTATTTCCATAAGATTAAGTAATTTTTAGAGAGAAAATAGCTGAATAAATCATCATATTCAAGACTCCAAAATGAGGAAAAATGAACCACCTCAAGAGATCAGAGTCACACCTTAGTTAGACGCAGAGCTAGGATTAGGTACAGGCCTCTGTGGAATAAATTAACACCCAAACTGGGCAGATTCTTTTGAAACATATGCTTAACCATTTATTAATGTTTGTATTTAATTTAACACCTCTCTTACTCTGTTTCTGCATTTGTTACATTTGAATAATAATAGTAACAGCTCTTAACATCGACATCACCTCATGTAAATGTTTTTCTACTGATTAAAGGAAAGCAATTTGCCTATATTAGCTGCTGCATACTCCTTGCGCTCCCTGTTCTCACATTTCCACTCTCCTCTCATCCCTGATAGTAGGTAAGAAGAAAGTCTCATACCTCCCATCAGAGCTACCGAACCCTGGCTCCAAACACAGATGGGAATGACACAGACCTGACAAAGTTCAAGAGTCGGACCACATTAAGGAACATTGCTCAGGGAGCAGAAGCACACAAACTGTCAGTGCCTCTCATTGTTATCTTTTGCACTTGATTATCTTCAAAACTGATGTCTTTGTGCTTTCTGGCCAAAGATTGTGTAAAGAACCTCTTCATAGAACACTAAAATTGGTGACAGAAGGAGAGAAGCCAACATCAAAATGGACAAGTGACCAGAAGGCAGAGAGGTCAGTCAAAGGGAAGAGGAATGGAAAAGTCATATTGACAATTATGAATTTTTGTAACTACTTGAATCTCTGAATTACTGAACAAAACCTCAGTGCCATGGATTGGGAGGTAAATGTCCTAATGAGTAGTTTTTTAAAGAGACACCATAAGTTTCTAAAGCAATGCGCTCAAGCCATTCCTTTGCTTCTCTGTGAGGACTAAATGACAAGAACCCATCACTAAGGACATCATATTTTGGGCATACCTTTAGCATCAGACTTCCTAGGTAGAACTGTCTACATATGTCGATCAACTGATCCAAAGCAGCAGCATGAAGAGTTTCAAATGCTTCCAATCAATGAATTATAGTTTTTATTGAGTTATCTTTCCCCTTCTAAGCAGTAAAACCTTGCTCATTTCTCTGTCAGACCTAACATCCCAATAAACACATAAAAACAGTTGAAATGTAATAAATTATCAAACCCTATTGTCCAACAGTGAAAGGGCTAAGAATGGTCTCAGGTAAGACCTTAAGCCTATAGTTGAGGGTTCTGTGTCTGCTGTGACTCACCAGCTAATGTTTTATCAATACATTTTCAAAATGCACTGATATAAAAATGTTTCTTCGTTCTGATATTACACAACTGGAACATTGTATTTGATTAAACTGAAATCATTGTTCCACGGTCAGGATCACTCAAGTGTAGCTCTAGAAAAAACTATCTCTTATGGGGACTTGCATATAGGTAATGAAACTGGCTTGAGAGGTGCTTGCTGCAGGCATCAATGCTAGAGCAGCTAAGCCCTTTGAAATTAAATGGCTAGGTTGACAGATATGGAGCGATGAGATTTGGTGTTGCCTTATTGGGCTTTGGTCTTTCTTTGGTGTAGTGTTTATTTAGTATGTCCTCATTCTTCTATTTTATACTGAAAATATATATTATGTGCTATCATATCCTGGAAGTATATATACCATATTATATTTGTTTCACAGGGCACCACAATCAAAACATTGCCTTGACTCTCAGAGAAGCCATTTGACTTTATATTTATGAAGAGTGTTCAAACTTTTTTCTTTTTCGTTTCAATAATTTTATTGAAAGGTGCATTCCTTAGTTCAAAACATAATGGTAGTAGGTTAGTTCACTTCTGTCCACTCAAAATCAGCCTTTAGGAAGAACTGAAAAGGTAACCATGAAACATGGTTTACAGAGGTTAAAGATAAAATACTCCCATTCATTGGTTTATTTTTCATTGGTCATTATCCATTACATGTCAAAATGGTCACAGTCACGCTGGGTGGACTCAGGCTGCACTGAGGAGCAGCTACAATTTACCCGTGTAGATCTTATATTCAAGGGCGACCTTTTTGGTTTTACGGAGTGCCTCCTTACTTCCCTTAAGACACAGTAGACGTTTTGCAAATTATTCTCTTCCTTTTAAAACAAAATGCCTTAGAAGCAGTGTGGCAGTTTTATAGTAAAACTGAGGGGGAAAAACCTTCAGCAGTGCTTTTTCAAGCCTGAACTAAGTTTGATGCAATAAATAAATTTTCAGAGTGATAATTCACCCAGTGCCGGTAGTGGTGGCGCACGCCGGTAGGATTTGCTGAAGGAGGCAGAGGCAGGGGGATCACGAGTTCGAGGCCAGCCTGGGCTACACAGTTTCTGGGGATGTGGCTCAGTTGGTAGAGTGCTTGTCTCGCATGCACGAAGCCCTGGGTTCAATCCCCAGCATCACAGAAAATTGGACATGGTGGTACATGTCTGAAATCCCAGCACTCGGGAGGTGGAGATGGGAAGACCAGAAATTCACGGGCTACCTAGCAAGTGGAGTCAGTCTGGGCCACATGAGAACCTGTCTAAAAAAAAAAAAAAAAAAAAAAGAGTGTTCAAACTTTAAAGACTATGGAAACTTTTAAAGTTGAACAAAATGGCATTTTTCAATATGATATGACCAAGCATTTATGGGGATCAAGAGTGAACTATAGAGATTTGAATGAGAAATACCCCTATAGTCTCAAGTATTTGAATATCTGCTCCCTCTTTGGTGACTTTGTTTGGGGGGACTGAAGAATGTTACTGTAGCCTTTGAGAGTTTGTAAACTTGTTCTACTTCCTATTTTTTCTCTGCTTCATATTTATGGTTGGAGACATGATTCCTCAACCTCTGAGTACCTGCTTCCGTGCCTCCCAGTTATCAATAAGTCTTTCTCTGGAACCATAAACCAAATAAACTGTTCCTTCCATAAGTTGCTTTTGGCCCTATTATTTTACCATAGCGCCAAAAAGTAACTTAAATATAATTACATAGCTAATGTTGAGCCCCACCCCCCAACACGCACACGCAACTCCAAAGGATAGTTTCAATCCAGTGGTGGTAGAAACAGTCCTGGATAGACTAAGTGGCTCACAAAATAACATAAACCTTCAGTTAAGGAATGGAAGAGGTAGAGAGGAGTTGTGTGTTGACAGAAATGTGGTGATGTAAGAGAGTATAGGGAAAATAATAGTCAGAATACATTATATACACAAATGAAATTGTCAAAGAACAAAATAAACCAATAAAACAAAAAGAGGCAAATAGATCAGTAAGTCCTCTGCAGACAGAAATGCTTATTTTCTCTTCTTCAGGAATGCTTTTCATTGGAGCTTCTCAAAATAATCATCAAAGAAAATTTAGCTCTAGATCATTTTCAATGGTTTCTTCACGTTATAATTCAAACTGTGTGGTGAATGATGATTTTCTTGTTGCTACAATTCTCTCTATATACGATGGCACTAAGACGGTACTCTGCTTCAACGTTCCCAAATAGGCTTATTAGTGAAATTAGAAATAGAAATACATATGGAAGCATAGAAGATATAATATGTTGTAAAAATTTTATATAAATGCAGATTAATGCATTAACCTAATATAAATATTCCACTTGAAAATAAAATGTTCCTCTTCTATTTCAAAGTTAGCACAAGTCTATGTTTTCAGACCGAAGATTAGACTTGATTTCTTCAAGGGAATGAACAATACTTTAAAAACACAGAGTACATATTTGATGTATGTAATCATGTTTCTAAATGCTAACACACATATACATGCATGTATACTCAAACACATACACATATTCTCTCTCTCTCTCTCTCTCTCTCTCTCTCTCTCAAATACACACAAGCACACTTATAAATAAATGCTGGAAGTACTGAGATGAATGAGTTTCAAAAAAAGCCCTTGAGTGATATTGATAAAACAGAATCACAATAGATTTACACTAAACACTAAACACAGACAGGTTTACAGTAAAACACAATTATAAATCACAGAACTTGTAGTAAGAAACTGGATTTAAAAGTAAAAGATTGATGTCACCAAGATTATATTTAGAAACATATCTCCAGTCCCAATATAGTTTGTATTAGTATTAGTTTTCTCTTCTCTGCCCTTGTTTAATAATTTCTGACTTAGAGACTATTCTAAACCAGTTTCCAATAGAAAAATCTGTCACTAAGAAACCTATGCTGCTGCCTTTTAAAATACAAAAATGTAGAGCTTACAAAGATATTGATTGGATATCATATCTGGCCCTGAATTCCACAAAGCTGGGCAGCCAAAGGAACTAATTTTAAGTTGATGCAGCATATCAGTCAGAAGACAGCCATCATTTAAACAATAGCATTCTGTACTGTATTAGGAAACATCTTCAAATGAAAGAGTTAACCCCACATTGCTTGGATTCATTTGCAGGCAGTCATGTCTTGGAAACTATGCTAGCTTTGATGTTATTTACAAAATTATTTGTTTGATGATAAAAGATATCATCTTTACCTCAGCATAAGACCTTGATGTAGTTAAGCTCACACTTTTTAGGCAGATTGTGATGCTGCCATTAGTTAATTGATGAAAATTAATTCTGTATCCAACAGGATTAATTGTCTTTTGCTCTAAAATAAAAACACCAATTTCCCTGAAGTGCTCACAATTGCCTATCTTTTCTTTTCTTTTTTTAAATTTTTTATTTAAAAGTGTTTTTTTTTTATTTTACATACTAACCACAGTTCCTCCTCCCATTTCCCCCACCTTCCACCCTCCCAACCACCCATCCACTCCTCAGAAAGTGTAATGCCCTCAATGGTGAGTCAACAAAATCTGGCATATCAATTTGAATCAGTAAAGAATCAGTAATAATGGCGGCATTACTTATGATAGCCAGAACCTGAAAACATCCTAAATGCCCCTCACACAAAAAATGGCTAAAGAAAATGCAGTACGTTTACACAATGGAGTACTTCTCACTGATTAAAAAACATGACATCTTGAAATTTGCAGACAAATGGATAGAATTAGAAAAAAGAATATTTTGAGTGAGGTAACCCACACCCAGAAAGACAAACATGGCATGTACTCACTCATAAGTGGTTATTAAACATAAAGAAACAGAATAACTAGGCAACAGTCCACAACTCCTGAGAAGCTAACAAGGAGGACCCTAAGAGAGACATACATGGATGCTCCCAGCAAGGGGACAGATAAGATCTGAGTAAGTTGGGAGTTTGGGGGGGGGGCGGAGACCATGAGGGAGCAGGATGACTGAGTTGATACCTTGATACAGGGAGCCATTATGTAGTTAAGGAGAAATCTGGTGCTAGGGAAACTTCCAGGAATCCAAAAGGATGACCCCAGCTAAGACAGCTAGCATCAGAAGAAGGTACCTGAACTAGCCTTTCTCTGTAATCAGACTGATGACCACCTTAATTGTCATCATAGAATCTTCATCTAGTAACTGGTAAAAACAGATGTGGAGATTCACATCTAAGCTCTGAGGTGAGCTCCCAGGGTCCAGTTGAAGTGGGAAAGGAGGGAATATATAAGCAAAGGCATCAAGATCATGATCAACTCATGGAGACAGGTGACATGAGATAGTGGGAGCTCCCTAACCCTGAACTGAAAGCTGCAGAACCTGCATATGACCGAATTAGGTCCTCTGAATATGGGTGACAATTGTGTGACTTGGGCACCAATTGTTTTCTTAAAAGCAGAAGCATGTGGCTGCTTTTCTGAATACTTGAAAATCTTTTCTTTTATTTCAGAAGACAACAAAGGTATGTTGATTGAGCTTAACCATCTTCTTTCTTTTGAACAACTTAATTCCTGATTATCCAAGACCTCTTAATAAATGAAAATAATAAATTATTTTTGTTCTGAACCAATTAGCTTAAATCACAAGAACAATCCAATGTAGCAAGTCATTTAGTGACATTTATATTTATAATCTGTTCTGAGGGTCATGGCATTTATAATAGGAAGGGATATGTTCTCATTATAAAATGGAAAGGGATACATTTATTTCCAATTTACCATAATTCTCCTGTTCTCTCTCCCACAGCTTTGTTTAAGTTCTGAGAATAAGCATAAATCTTAGCAGTGTCCACCATTTCCCAGCTTCTGGCCCAATGGCTTACACTGCATTTTGTACTTTAAGGGATGAAGGCAGTGGCTATGTTTTTTCAACCATAGATTAGTGTAACATCCAACCGTCATCAGAGAAACTTCCTTTGGTACTAGGTAATGATTAATACAGAAGTTCACAACTAGATAAACTATAGACAATAAGAAACTATGGAGTTCATAATGCCAAAGAGAACATCTATATTCCTTACCAACAAAAACCTAGACTCACCACAGAAAAGGGAGTAGATACGTTGTACGGGACAGACGTACTGGATGACTCTTCTGAAGACATGGCCTGCAGTTGCACACACATACTTACGGCAGTTGTGGATGCGTACACAAGACCTCCACTAGATCAAGTCAGCCAAAATTGCAGCATGGGCATGGGAAGGACTTTCAGTGCCCTAATACTTGCTGAGACGGTATGGACAATTGATAACTGCTACACATAAGAACGTACTGGCAGCATTGTGTGGATTTAGTGAATTTAAAAAGTAATAACATGTAATTCAAAAAATGTTAGTGGTAGGAGATATATGAAGAACTAGAGGTGAGAGAGCAGCAGCAAGTTTGATCAATATACAATATATTCATATGTGAAGTTCTCAGACAATATTTTAATTACATGTGAGTAAACTTTAATAAGATAGAGTTTACGTATTAGAAAAGAGCATTTGAACCAACAACCTTAGATATAAACTAGAACAAGACAGTAAAGCTAAATCTGAAGTAAGAGAGAAAACGAAAAGAGCCCTCATAAATCATGAGGCAATTGCAAAACACTTATTTGAAAAAGACTTTAAGCTCAATCATAGAAAAAATTTGTTGTTCACATATACAAAAATAAAGAATTCAAGAAAAATTAAAAATGGCACAGATACTCCACCAAAGAAAATATAAACATACATATGTACACAAAGTGATATTCACAACATGCCATTAGATAAAAAACAAAAACAAAACAACAATTTATTATTAGTATACATGTAGTGGAAAGACAATGATTTATGATATCATTATCACCAGAGACGAGGGGCAATCACTCAATCATTCTCAAACTTCAGTAGAAACGTCAAAAATATCATAGAAAAGGAAGCCTCATATTCACACATAGGCATGAAATACATAAACACACACACGTATATACACATATATTATCTAATGTTATGAGATTTACAGTTTTAATGTAGTTTCTTCTGTGCTTTAAGTAATAAATATAACTGTTTGGGCCTTTCTGTCAAATTAGAATGAACCATTCATTTCAGCGCCACAAAGATTCATAGAAACCACTGACATTATG